TTTGAAAAACATGCTCGTCAAATCAAAAGTGACACGATTACGCTTTGGAGTCTTATCGTTTCGATCACGATCGTTATCCCTGTACAAAGATCCATAAAGATTAAGCAATAAAAAGCTTAGCCAGTTTTTACACGAATCGTAAACACACGAGTAACGAAGCGAAAGCTCGATCGTGAAAGATTGCCAATAAGTACTAATCGAAAGTCCAACAACGCGAGCTAAATATAGCAAGTACTAGAGAAGCGCTAATCAAACTTTCGAAGTAACCGTGTCTCCACAGGCGAAACGTGTGGTTTCCGTGAAAAGGAGATTCGCAAAAACCGTGGCGATCACGATCTCTTAAGTCATCCAACGTTTGATTAATTTCCCCCGAAGCAGGCTGGCACGGGTCAATCGTGTAATTTCAGTGCTCGCGCGAAGCATGTAGGGCTAATTACGACCATTAAGCACGGCCAATGCTTAACTTGACTGATTAATTGGAAAGCAAGTTTGATAGTTGCCGTATCGTGGCCGTCTAAGCCTCTTCGAGATTTGTACTCGTTATCTATCCACCTGGTTAATCGATCCCGCTACGAGATTCGATACGTTGCTCGTATACTGGTCATGCTGACTAATCGAGCCTATCTCTGATACACGTTGACTATTAGACTCAGGTGGCATTTTCGAATTCTAGAAATCTGCCTTTCTCGATGTCTTATATCATTTGGAAGGGCATATATGTTCTACATACATGCAGATGTTCTAATATATTATTATGTAAAAATGATCAGATAACGAATTTCAGTATCAAGAATAATTAATATATTCGCTCATATGAATACATATAATATGAATACAATTGACGTAGTGTGAAAATGATCAGATAACGGATGTCAGTATAAAAAATAATTAATATATTCATTCATATAATATAATATGAATATACAATAATTGATGTAGTGTCAAAATGATCAGATAACGAATGTCAGTAACAAGAATATTTAATATATTCATTCCTATAAATATAATATGAATATAACTGAAGTAGTGTAAAAATGATCAGATAATGTATCAAGATTAAAATGAAACTCCAAGTTAAAAATGAAAATACAGAATAAAAATATTTATTCAATAAACGAGTAAAACATGAAAGTATATAATTTTATGATAAACACAAGTATAATTTCAATAATCACATTCAATCGTTAAAGCAAGGAGACTCTTCAATATATCGAGCATCTAAAATTACTATTAAAAAGATTACTACATTTTTATTGTCGAATAAACACAGAGTATTTCCGGCACATTTTGTAGTTAACTCTGTTATACGTAAACACCGTTATTATCCAATATCTCAAACGAAACTGACTGAAAACGACTGAAATTATGGCTCCAATGTTTGCTACATTACATGGAAGCTTGCCAATGCACCGAAATACTTATCGTTAGATAAACGTACAATCTAAAATCTGTATCCCGCATAAAATATTAAAAAAAATATTCGCATTAATATTATTAGAGAAAAAGAGTAGTGCGATGAATTAAAGAGGAACATCCTTAATCTGTTTACGCAATAAAACACACCGCTACGGTTCGATAAACAATTATGATTATAAATCGTAGCGAAGGAAAACGCATACAAGGTAGAGTTTGCTATGAAATGAAATAAGTATATTGGAAAAGTATTAAATCGCTCGCATTAATTGTCATTAGATGTATCGTAGATCATAGAGGCGTGTGTGTTAGTGGTAGGCCAGATAGCTTATCGAAGGAGAGAAAAAGAAAAGAAAGGACGTAGCCGAAGCGTAGCGGTTTCCCTCGAGATTTATTGGTCGTGTGCGCAATTTACGCGCGTGTAGCCTGAACTGAAATTATGCAAAACAGTCGCGACTCGACAAGTGGCATTTTTATCGGTGGGTCCATTATAAAATATTGGCTAAGTGTGCGTACCACCGGAGTATCACCGACAACAACAAAATTGAAAGATACAGAGATATACAACGCATAAATACGAGCGGTTTCTTCGCGAGATAGAGCGTCAGCTTTAATAAAGCTGTTAAATAGCCTTTTTACAGGTGTTGCTCCCTCTTGTAATCCTCCTCGCTACGACTCTGTTTTTCTTCTCGATTCATTTCGCCGTCTCTAGCGACACGCGTCCTATTTTTCTTCGTCTCGCTTTTTAATCTACCGAGATCGCTTTATTTCTATGCAAATTACTGCGGTGGAAAAAATATAACGTTAGCTTCGCGAAATCTTACGTTCCTGATATTCACGCCATAATGCAAATCACGGCTTGAAATTTTTAATATTTCGGAATCTGTGCTGATGAAATTCCTATTTCGAATAATTTGAATATTCGAACGTTTCGTAAATTTTGAATATACAAATAATTGGGAATGTATAGAAAATAAAAGTCTCTTCGAGAAAAGATTATTCGTAAGTCTTATAAGTTTAGTTTAAATAAAAAGGGGAGGAAATATCGGATGTTAACAATGTACCACCTGTTCGAGAGCTAACAATGTTGCAACTTAGCAGTGGTATAGCGGTCAACAAAGGGGTTAAGCATCGACGTTCGGAATAATTAAGTTCATTAAACGTCTCTGGTACGGTCGTTCCACCGAGTCACTTTTGAACGGAGCTCGATGAAAAGCTATTGTTTGGTCGTCGACAACGGCGAAGCATCTCTCCTGGACAATATTTATCGTGGCAACCTTTGCTCCGTAGCTCGAGCGAATTTTATTTTCTCGAATTACGAACGTCCACGATGCTGCTCTAACGCGAGAAGAAATCTCACGATTCAACGTAACTAACAATTTGCTTTACTACTTTGCATCCAATCATTTTTCTTTTTTCTTTGTTCGTGCGTCTATGGTAAAACAACTGGTCAAACGAGAACGACCGAGGTGTACTTATCGATCGAGGGGGAATCGATAATCAATCTATTTTCGATCTTCGAGCTTGTCATTAACAGCCTCGAATATAAATTCAAAAAATTAATCTTATTTCGATGAGAAATCTTTACAATTTGCAAACTTCTCTTTCCGTATTATTTTCAATATTATTTGCACGTAATTAACGAATAGAAATCTGTGATGTATAATGTGTCACGTAATAATTTTCTCAAAATCTTATGATGTAACTCATGAATACGGTATTACAACCTTCTATTTTTCTTACTATCGTAATAACTCGGAATTTTCGAAAGATAATACGTTTGATTCCTAAAAATTCGATAATGTTTAACCGGGTTTTAGCAGAGAAAACCTCTGTTGTCATTATCGTCAATAACGGTATAATTTTATAGTTATGTAACGATTATTCGCTTGTTACGGTAATGGAGCGTGTTCTACCGATTTTTAAATCAACCTCCCAAATGATAAATTCATTACACCTCTACTAAATTTTTATTCGAACTCAAAATCGTGCAACCTACTATTATTACACTGTAACTCAACTTATAGAACAAATCCAGCATGGAAGTACAATTTGCACTGTTTACGTTCGCGTTGACTCCCGTGGAATAACTCTCTAAAACCGTACACAAACAGAAATAAGAAATCGAACGAAATTTCCTGCCGCGAACACAAAAGTATCAAGAATGACTCAGCCAATTTGTGGCGACAACAGACGTAAACCTACTCGTAATAGTAGACACGTTGTGGCACGCGTGAATCGGAGGAAAAAATTGATTTTCTTCGTGGAACGAGAAATATGACATCGAGGGAGACAGTGCTCCAAAAGAAGAATGAAGAAGTAGCAAGAATCCAACGCGGAAAGCGACGATGGAAATTTTCCCCTGCGCTCTCTTATCTGCTCGTTAAGTAAACGGTTAATGGTTAGAATACGGTGGACCCTGGCGCGATACAACAGACGTTGTCGCTCTAGTAATTTCTCGGGATCGAGGCATCGTCGTACCAGCTTCACTCCGTTTGCTTTTATACGTACGTCAGAGATTTGTGTATCAGAGCCAAGCGACGAAAATACGACGCTCGATAGCGACAATTATTTCATATTCTCGAAATCTAACTTTCTCTAATCTTTTAACATCTAATCGTAAATTATTTTTAATAATGTAGCAGTAACGTAAAGGCGACGTATAGGTAACGTAAAGGTACACATAATTAGCAGTATTTTTCAAAATATTTCAGGGAAAATTTGTTCATGGTTATACGTAAAAAGAAATGAATTACGAATCAATACAGTTAATTCCACTTAGCACCGTTTAATCGCGTATTCGCGCCCGAACGAAAAAGCAGACAACGTCAACGACGCACGTTGTTCCGGAAATACACGACGGGGGACCAAGCGCACAAAGATATTCGAGATTTCCATCACAAGGCGTTCGTCACGCGACGAAAACTTCTACTGGAACATCGTGAACCGCCACCGCGATGCACTTTACTCGAATCGTCGGCTTTCGCGCGCGCTATCTCTCCGGCTTTAGTGTTGTTCATGCGCATACGTAAGAGATTTGACACGCGCCCTTCTTATCGCCGAAGAATCGACCTTTCCGCCGCGGCAAACACGTCCCACCATTAACGTATATCTTCTTCGTTCACCCATCGCTACGCTCGCGTGTACATCGTCGAGTGACATCCAGGAATTTTCGTCAAAGGAATTTTCTCCGTACGACTGGCGGATGTCCAATCGTTTGCTCTAACGCAGAGATTCGCAAAGCACGGGTCTCTACACCGATAAACTTTTCGGGGACCTTGAAACTTTTCGATAGAACTTATCGAAAGTTTGAATTAGAACTATAGTCACGAAAAGTTCCCTCTGTACGAAAGTTCGGAAAAGCCTGGTCTATCGAATGGTTACTGTATCCCGTACTATCCGCTCGTACAACTATTCCCGCCGGTTCTCTTACGAGAAAGGGAGACGCACGGTGTGTCGACCGACACGGCTCGGCGAAACGGAGTAAGCGAACGAATCGGAGAAGAAAGCAACGAAAGAAGAGGAGAGAAGAAAAGATGAGGACGAGTGGGGAGTCTTTACACGGGGCGCACACGGTTCTCTGTTACCTGTGACTCGTGGCCGTGTCCAGCATGGTAATCCAATCCCTCGGATGGGGGGCTACCTCGTCATCCCCGCGGATCTCTCGCTGACCGATCGCGAAAAAGTCGAGGAACTTCACTTAAACAGCTATTTCCCTCCTCTCCGGGGCACTGCTCGTCGGAAATCAAATATCACTCACTCGCGCGACGAACCGCGACTCGTGCACGAGAGAACGCGGAAGGACGCCTTTACTGGCGCGAACGAGACGCACTTCGATTTAACCGAGTGTCCCGTGTCGTTGTTCTTTTCTTTTTCCTGTTTACTCGGGACGAGTACGTGCACTGCGCGGCCAGGAACGCACGATCAACACCACTCGACGATTTATTTACGCGCGGTACACGATCGTCGACTCAACGCGGGCTCGGTTTTACGAAGATTGAAACGCGCCACAGCGATAGCACGACTATCGCCACTTTACAAACGACCGTACGCAAGCAGAGGCCGCAATACACTGAGCGAACACATGACTCCGCGGGGGCCTAGTGTCTGCGCATGCCCAGTAGGTGGAGCCACCCGAGCGGCGCTTCGATCGAAATCGGCCATGTACGGATATCTTCGAAAAACTTCGCAACGATTTTTCTTTCTTCTGTCAGAATCGATGGAAATTTAGTGTCGATCGAAGTGTACATCTGCTTCCTGTTTACGGTTCAATTATCCTCACAGTGTACATCGCGTTTGCTGTCAGTACATTATCGAAGCTGAGAGGAGACTCGATCAACCACCGATTAAACGCTTCAAACAGTTCGAAACAGTTTGCGTTTCTAATTAATTTCCTGTCAAAATGATATCGAATCGGAGGATGAATTGTTCGTTGTCCTAGGAATATAGGTGTGTGTCATGACAGAATTGTCAAACAGTAGATCCTAGAAATTCTGAAATTTATATATTTGTAAGAAAGATGTTTTTATTACAGCTTTTAAATATGGCGGAAATGGAGGGAAGTATGGCGAAAATGGAGGGAAGTGTGGCAGAATCGTCGCGTGAGAGATCGGTAAGTAAAGTAACGTAATGGGTCGAATAAATTGTATTGTAAACAGCGTCGGGCAATGACAAGAAATACAGAAGGAGGTTTCGTCATCGGTTCGCGGTCGGGATAAGTTGAAGATATTTTTAGAAAGCCAAAAGTTTCTTGGCTTATCGCGACCACGCGGTTATCACATTCCTCTTAGCATTCTGCATTTTTACGCGTTTAAGTCTTCCTTTTCCCATTGAAATAACATTGATGGATCTAAGATCAGCAGGTGTACAAATTGCGCATTTAAAATTCTTGCATACCACTTTCGTCTATTGAGTTAACATTATTCTAACGAACGCATCTCGAGACAGGCTTGGAAATCAATGTTTTAAAATATCGACACGGAAAAACGGGACGAAGCACGAGAAATAACGCGTCGAAGACGTCGTTTACACTCCAATTGTTTGCAAGTCCGTAGATTGCTAGATGGGATCTTGTTTACGAGTTAAATTTAACAGATCTAGTCGTATTTACTTATTTCTACCAACACTTTGGTCTCTCGTTGCGTACTGTAACCGCGATTGATAGTGAAAGCTGTTTTATCAGAGAGGAATGCGTACACTTACATACACCATTTTATCATCCTTTTCCCTTTAATGCTCCAAGTAAAAATACCATCGTTTCAACATAGATAATTAACCGTTACAACGTTCGACGAATTGCTGTTATACATTTACCCGTGGAAACTTCACCGGCAATAATGCTAACGCACGATTATCCGCGGTTAATGTAGGATGTAATAGCGTGGTAATACGTGAATGCCTTTATTATGCACATACGTTACTAATGCACGTGCACCTCCTTGCAAATGCGAATGATAATGCAAATCGTCACGTGTCGAAGTTATAGTCAACAATAAAGGCGAAATCAAAATTCCTATATTCAAATATTTTTAATAGAAACCAACTACTAACTAGTTACGTTTTTATTTGACGATAAATCATAACACTTGTCTATGGATATGAATAAGCAGGGTGTTGTACGATGCGTTGAAGGATATGTTCGTTGTACAGCGGTACAATGTAAACACACGTTGTAATGACACGTTACAACTCTTTATAACGATGACTACAACGTTTTCTGTCAACGTCAGATTGTATCTACAACGCGTTTTAACGATGACATGTTTGACTGTATTGTATATCAACGACACGTAATTATAATGAGTTGTAACAAGAATACAGTGTAACTTGTATATTGTTTGTATGACTCTTCGTAGTAAGATAAAGTATGATATAACGCGTTGTATGGCCAAGCGGCATTGTATAACAAAGCTCGACTTTGTATGTCAGTAGCACCTAAAATATATTCGAAGAAAGTCTTTCCTCGCAAAGGACTTCCTTTCTAGCGTCCGATTTCATCGCATTCTATAAATCTCTCAGCAACGTTTGTACCTCTCTTATAAATTTTCCAGCGTTGCACTTTCTGCTCTCAAATTTCTTCCATGGAAAGCTGCCGGTTTTCACTGCGAATTCCGCGAGCGTGATTTTTCCACGCGGACCACGCGCCGTCGCGTTCACAACGGACGAATCGTATCGAGAAAAGCAGAAACACGAATTTACTACGCTCTGTTCGTGTGTACACAACCACAGTTAGCAACAGTGACGTAGACGGCCACGCACAGAAGCGGCGATTGGCTGCTAAAACAGTTGCTATCTTATCTTTTTCCCCGTGAGTGTCAACACTCGTCGCTTCTTGTTGCACGATATATGTAACGTGCACGGAGCGTGTAATACACGGTGTTTTCCGTCGCGGGAGAAATTCTTTCTTTTCCACGTCATTTACTTTGCTTCTTTGCTTAATGGCGTTGATCTGGTTTGATCGAGTTAATAAGTCTATCGGTGCTCATCCTTGGCACCTTATCGAAAATAGACGGCCGATCGAATTGTCGACTCGAATCGACGGTACGAGTACATTAGCGAAGCAGGAAAATCCACTTGTTATTTACGCTTATTTCCATAGATCGATCTCGAGGGGTTACATTGCTCTCTGATTCGCCTTCAGCTAAAATTTGCTTTTGTAATTCCCTCATTTTTCGAGTGGAATCGTTTACCTCAGATTTACCGTTCCCATCGGATTACTAATCGATCCGTTGCATTAATGCGATAAGAATCAAAGTATCACGGAATACGCTGCGTAATTTAAGCACAGAACTTTCTGAATGACGATGCGGAGTGCGCTGTTAACATACGTAATTGTTAAAACGATTGACGTATAGTGCACACATCAGATTATCTAGCAATAAATTGTCGTATCAGCGCAGGAGAAATCGAAGATAGGAGGATTTGAATTCCTTCCGATAGCTCTGCGCCGATGTTGGATACAATTTCGCGATCATAGGGAAGAGATACGTCGCGAAAAAGGCACGCGAAGCATTCGAGCGAGCCGGTTGGCGACTCGCGAATCGTGTCGATGGAAATCAGGCTAAATGACAACGAGCGTAGCGTCACGATCGAACGCGTCGAATCGCGACGACGAGTTTATTTTCAGCTCGGTCTAAGCTCGCGCATATCTTATGTAAAGTAACCGCGTGCGTGCGTGGACACAACAGGTCGTTTGTGCCGCAGGTGCGAGCGTTATGGCAAGATGCAACGAGAAAACTTACATCTCGATTCCTCTTATTTTTCATTTCACTGTCACATTGTTTTCGCTGAAAAATTTTACTTTCGATCACTACTTTTTTTTAGTGATTGATTTGGGAATTTGTTTTTTGTATTGCGACATATTTGTCGTGTGTGGTTGGGAGTTGTATACTTATGCATGTATAGTACTTGCACACTTGGGATTTATACATGTAATTTATTTTTACAAGTTGGATTTCCATGCATTCCTATTTCCACGCGTTAAATTTCCACGCATTCCTGTTTCCGCGCATTGAATTTCCAGACGTCCCTATTTCTATGCATCGTATTTCCACGCTTGAGATTTCTACGCGTCCTTAATTCTACAAGTTTAATTTCCACGCATCTCCATTTCCACACGTGAAATTTCCTCGCGCCCCTATTCCTATGCATTGATTTCCACACATCCCTATTTCTACGCATTGAATTTCCACACGTTCCTATTTCTGCGTGTCGTATTCCCACGCTTGCGATTTCCACACATCCCTAATTCTGCAAGTTCAATTTCCACGCATCCCCATTTCCACACGTTAAGTTTCCACGCGTCCCTATTCCTACACATTGACTTCCACACATGCCTATTTCCACGTATCCCTCCATCTACGCGTCGTATTTCCACGCTTGCGATTTCGACACGGCCCTGATTCGACAAGTTTGATTTCCACGCATCCCTATTTCCACACGTTAAATGTACACGCGTCCCTTTCCTACGTACTGACTTCCACGCATCCCTATTTCAACGCATTAAATTTCCACACGTCCCTTCATCCACGCGTCGTATTCCCACGCTTAGGATTTCTACACGTCCCTATTTCTACAAGCTGAATTTCTACACGTCCCTATTTTTACGCACTAAATTTTCACACGTCGCTATTTTTACGCGTTGAACTTCCACACGTTCCTATTTTTACACGTTGGATTTTCACGCGTCCCTCGTATTTTGACGTGTGGGATTTATACATAACCCTATCCTCGTGCTTTGTATTTATACGCGTGGGAGTTCTACGCACCCTCTATGTTGCATTTCTACTGACGCATCCCTATTAAGCATTGAGTTTTTACGCGACCCTATCACACGTTTCCACATATGTCTATCATATATATTCCTACACGATATTTCTCTTCCTGTATTTTCGCGGGTTGAACTTACACAGGTCCTTGCAGTGCAATATATTTTCACATCTCCACATGCGTTTACTCTACCTTCACACCCTCTATTTACACACGATTGCCACGCGTCCATAACATGCTATTCCTATATTTCATTCCTTACCTCGCAGTAACCACAATAAAAATGAAAATATTTCGGTTACATCGTCCGGGTAATCTGTTCGTAACCGATTGCAAACGCGTTAAGATAATTTGCAAGCGATCGAGCCACTCCTTGTCATCACGTTTGACGACGATGAACCGCACAGATTAACATTCCTGTATCGACGATTTTTACCGCTCTGTACGCATTGTTCTACGGCGGATGAAGATAATTCCGACTCTATAAATAGACACGCGGCTGGCAGAAGGAGAGCCCAATAAAAGTACGCTCTAGAGAGGCCGTGTACGCGTTTCAACTCGAACTCGCTAAACGAACACAACGGCCACACGGAGCCGCGATTAATATTAAAACACGAGGTCCGGCTGATACGGGAGAGAGCGGAATTAGCGGGAATTACGACGGGGATGGATTTGCATGAATGAAAAAGCAGCGGGGAAGCGAACCAGAAGCTAGAGTTACTTTTTTTTTCTTTATCTTCAGCTTTTCTTCCACGCGGCCTCGACCATTAGCAACAACTGGCCGAGAAGAGTAATTGTACTCGTCACTCGTGTCTGCCGCTAACGACGGATCATTTTGCAACATTGCTTCGACCGAGGATGTTCAACAACATCGTTCTCAGGAGGCAGATACACCATTTGAAAATTGCGGCGCCGCTTGCAACCTGTATAAACAATCGGCCATTACGCACCGTTATACGATAATCGTGCTTGACGTCAAATATTAAATGATTTCGCTGCGTGAATCAGGCTGTTTAAATTGTCCGGCTTGATTGAATGATGGCCGCTCCTCTAAGTTGGCCGGCAACCACTTCACCGTAAATAAGATGGTACCCCATTCTGTATATAAGAGTCGCCTCGTTATACAGGGTGTTCGATTTTTTAACATCTTCCTATTCAATCCCTCGTTTCTCACAATTTTTCTATTTACCTTTATTTCGTCTTTTTATTTACCTTCTTTCATCATAAAAGGATTACGAGAAATTTCTCGAGGAGTCATGAAAATCACCGAGTTAAACGGTTTTCCTCGTGGAAATGTTTTACGCGAGAAACTTTTCAATGTCGATCGAAAAAGCGACGATAAATTTTCTTCTCGAACAGGAGTTTGCAAAAGGCTTCGAATAGTAAATTGCGCAATAAATTCAGAAGTCATTCTCGTATTTGCACGAGTGTTTCGCACCGGAGTGGCTCGAACCGAACGCGGCGTACCGCGAGCGATCACGTGTCTCGAACACGCACGTAACTAGACGTGCAAATTAAAGTAATGAAGAGTTTAGTTAGCCGTCGAGCCACTAACGGCTTTAGTTATAGTTTTCGCGATCGGGACGCGCGCGACCCCGTGCGTTCGTTATAAATAAACGTAACAGTACTGTCACGAGTTGAAATGGAATGGAACGTCGACGGTATGCCGATCGTTCAACGTTACTTCCCCCTTTGTTATTCCATCCAGACGCTGGACTTTCTAATCTAATTTATAACACGAATCGACAGACAAACTCGACAGATCGTCAAACGTGACGCGAGTCAACGACGAGTTTCAATTTCGAGATTTTACATCCCTGAACGACTGCAACTCGACTTTCTTCGACGCGATCGATGCGAGCGCTCGATACATTTACAGCGTCGCTCCCGTGACTACAAATAACGAAATTTAGCTGCTTTCGAAGATTCCGAAGATTCGGTTTTGAAATATTTCAGAGTTGCCAAGTTTAGAATTGGGTAATTTGTACATTTACATTTTTACAAATCACAAAAGCTGAAAATTTCGTTTGGTTTAATACGAAGCTCACAGTTTACGTATTTGACAATTAGAAAATTCAGAAATGCATAATTTTAAAAATTCCACTATTTAGAGATTTAAAAGTCAGGCAATTTCAGAAAAGAAAATTTGAATTTATAAACACTTGGCACTTTACAAGTTCGGGTATCAAAAGACTAAAAATTTGATAAGTTACAAGTTGAAGTAGAAAATTAGAAACTTAAATGTTGAAATTTGCAAACAATTAAAAAATTGAAAAAGTAGCAGGGATTCGAATAAACCCAAACATCGGAGTTAATCGTGTTGGCGCAGAAGCGCTCAGACACGATCGACTTTGATCGATTTTTTCCAATTTTTCACAACGGGACGGCGTTCAGGCGTAGCCAGATAAACCAGTAATAGGAGAAAGATGCGTTTGCCGCTTGGCGTTCAATTAATTTCTTGGATGTTCGTAATTTAATGAAGCTCGGTGCGTTATCGCCACCGTTTCATCACGCATCGTGCTCGTGTGCTTTCGTCTCGAAGACGTTGCACTTGAACGCGGGGAAAAAGAAGCAACAACAACGATCTTGGACCTTTGTTTCACCCTCGATAGGAAAGTAATCGTGGTTCGTTAATGATTTCTTTATTTCGAAGATGGATAATTTAATTTACACATGTTCCCGTGTGCCGTGCACGACGGATCTCTTAAGCACGGAAGAATACACGTTATCGTCGGAGAGTTTCATAACGATTCATAAGTACGCATTAAATTGTCGACGTTATATATTACTCTATAAATAGTTCTCTTAAGTACTAAAAAACCGCCGGTGATTAATGACACGGTTAAATGCTAGGGTAAGTTAGGATGAGGATTCTTCCGAGAAAATCGAACGAATGCGTTCGAACTTAAACAAATTGACTAGAGTGACACTTACGCATAATATAAAGCACGAGCCTTCTTGATTGTCTAAGCTAATGCGTGGAATATACCGTTACGTGCTGCTTTCCGTGCACAAGTTACGTATGCTATAAATAAGGTACGCTGGGTGCAACGTAGACTTCCGTTAATTAAAAGGGAGCCTTTCTAGACCTTGTATTTCCCCTTTCATATTCTCCCTTCGTAGTCCGTGTAACACCCAACTCTCGCTATACCCCCGCCTTCATACGGCAATATAACGAGAGCTTACCGTATATAAATATGTCCGTTATGTTCGTTTGTACGTGCGGTGTGCTTTGGTACAACGTGTACTAGCGAGAGGAAAATCATGTTGTATATTGTACGCTGTTCACCGGCTAATTGTTCGTTAATTGACCAGTCCTGTATGAAACATCGACCGTACACGGTTACGAAAAAATGATTGTCGAGTCGAAGTGATGTTTACATTGCTCAGTTTTTGGTTAACGGGATTTCAATCAAGTTGAAATTTAATCAAGTTACAGCGAATCAATCGAGTTGACATGGTTTTGTAACAGCTGTGGACGGAAAAAGAACGTGGAAATTGAATTAGAATGCAAATTGAGTTCGATTGGCTAAACAAAAATTGCTTAATGTAAACATCGCTTTGGAAATAAAATAGCTTCGTCCGATTGAAGGATCATCGAGAGTACGATTGAATAAATGCGTCCATTTATCGACGCGAACGGCATCGAATCAACACCGATACGTCTGCTTAATTAAATCTAGTTTACAAATAACAATAGCATCGATACTCACGTACAATAATAATACGCGTCGATGTCGACTTGATGCCATTCAGCTGCTGTTTAGCGATCGATATTTCCAATCATTTCCTATCTCGTGTCCCCGAATTTCCGTAATCAACGAAGAATCGCAGTGTTCAGTGACTCCATTAACTCAAAATTAACTCAACAACCTCAAAACAACCACATTCACACTTCGTTATGCCTATAAATTGATTGACCTTCGTCTCCACCATCGATTCCAAGGTTACCGTGATCGATGTCACAAACACTTCTCTAAACTCGAGGCTCCCTAAATCACTGATTCTTCAATCGTCGACGAGAGTTCCTTAATCCAATCGTTCTGTCGGATAATAAATCAATGGTACGGTAGCGTCCCATCCGTCAATCTCTTCGTTCGACTGAGCCGCTCTCTTCTGACAATTTAAGACCAGACTGCTGTGTCTGGGGCTGCTCGGTGCTGATCTACAAGTTGTCTGCGTGAGTCCAGTCGATCCCAAGCGGAAGTTCTTGGCTCCGGTTGATGGAAAATAGTGTTCGTTTCCGATTCCCCAGCTGTTAGGAAGCGGTCCATTTCTACTATCGCAATGCAGTCGATTTTCAGCCAAATCCTTCGCGTCTATGTGCCTTTCTTGCTCCCCGAGCTGTTCGACGCACGGACAAGAATTACTGGACGACCTCCAGTTCTCCACGCACGATAACCTGTTCGCGCAAGAATTTTTCGGTTTGCACGGACTGTTGTCGACTATCGCTTCCAATTGGCTGTTCGTTCTGGAACACTTCTGATCCAACTGATCGGAGCTGGCGAAACGCAGACGCTTCGGCGACTCGCTGGAACACCTTATGAAAGTTGACCTCACTAAGGACTTGTTCTTCAGAGAACTTCGAGGTATTAGGGGATTTCCGGCATTGTTCCTTTTCCCGTAACCGCTGCGCCGATTTTCTCGCTCCCTGTTTCGTTCTTCCCTCAACATCGGGTCTTCGCCGATCAACCAGTAGGTCAGACGCTCGCCTTTTCCTTTCATGGATACCAGGCCTCTTTCCACCACGCTGAATCCACCCAGCTGATCCAGTAGGTGCTTCGTTTCGCTACTGCAGTGGATTTTTAACGCTGGAAGAAACGAACATCGTCAGAATCATATAACATTGCACATTCAATTGTTTTTAACTCTCATCGTTCCACGACTTATTCTTAGATGCAAGATCTGATTTAATCTACCGGTAGTGATTTTGATCCATAGTAACCATTCGAAGTACGTTCGCACACTTGATTTAGAAGTTGCGAAGAGTCAATGTTGCGACATCGATCGAAGAACGACACGCTGGTTGCAAATAGGATACTTACGCGATCCCGTGGATTCCATTCGACTAGCCGTGTTCACCGTGTCGCCGAACAGACAGTAACGGGGCATTTTTAGACCCACGACACCGGCACACACGGGCCCTGTACGAGAAGTAAAAGTATGTCAACCGTAACAGGCGTAATCCTAAATCGTATTGTTGTTTTCTCTCCGTGCTTACCGGAATGTATACCGATTCGCAGTTGCAGCTTATCCAGCGGCCTATGTCGAATGGTAAATTGTTTAATGGCATCCAGCAGACACAAGGACATACTGGCAATTTCTCCCGCGTGCTGAATACCGTTTCGTATCGGTAGACCGCTTACCTGTTGAGAAATTCAAGTACGTTGATCTCTTGTCGCAATTTCCCTCAACGTTTAACCCTCTGCATATTTGCGCTTCATTTGTATTGCATCTACGTGACTATGCAAATTTACATGAATCAAAAATTAAGATCTCTGCTTAATCGGTGAATCGAACCTAATGATATTTCAATAGCTTTTTAATAGCCTTGTTAATATTTATTATTATTTTTAAACGTTCGTTTCCTAGCTGAATAATGTCTAGAAATATAATTGTTTGTAAATCAGGAATGGAAAGATAATACGTGAAATATTGCATGGTTTCCTTAGAACCTGGTATATTAATCACAGGAAGAATGCGTACCACCATGTAAGCATCGCCAATGGTCTCGACTTTGTACACGTCATAATTTTCTATGGTGGAGTCGAAGCAGGTGTAGAGATCGTTCAGAAAGTCCACCACCTGAAAACCCATCATCAGGATGATGGCAATAATAATTGAGCAATTACCGCGCAAATTATAATGATAAGTTACCTGCAAAGGTGTACTTTCGGCGGACATGGCGGTGAAGCCGACAATGTCGCTAAAGTATATAGTGACGCAGTCGAAATTCTCAGCTTCGACTTTGTGTCCTCGCTTTAATTGCTCGGCGACGTATCGCGGTAACATTTCATAAAGCAAGGCGTCTGAAAGGCGAAAGCATAGTTTAATATAATTGAAAGGGAACGCGATAGCGAGGCTGATTAAATTCGCTCGGACTTTCGGAACGTTCAGCGACCTGTTTTTTTCTTCTCCTCCGTCAATTGGTCCGTTCGTTCGTCGACCAGCGCTTCCAGATTATTCGCATATTTCTCCATCATGGCCATCATGTTGTCAAATATATTTGGCTTCCTGGAACGTTCGAATCATTTATCTCGATTATCCGAGTTATAGTTTCCCAGTGTATCGAGTTACACCAGCGTTAACGATCAACGAACTTTTATTTCGAGACCAGTGTCATTTTGATAGTAGGTAAAAACTTACATGCCCTTCCTCAACGGCCGCAGCTTGTTCCGTATGACCTTAAAGTCCGGACGAGTCTCAGGATCCTCGGCCCAGCACTCTATCAGACAATCGCGCACGAAATGGAAACAGTTCTCCAATTGGCTCAACGGTGGTCTGAGATAATTCAAGGAAAACAGAGTAGCTGACAAGGTGGAAACAAAAGCACATAAAATTTAAGTAACTTCTGCCGTAGACAGATCGTGACTTCAATCGTAATACCTGAACGGTTCGACGCCCGGTTCACTAGCTATCACCTTCTTCAGTATCTCTGAGTCGGACAGTTCTATGATTCCAAACGGACCGTGTCGTCCTTGGAGCTCGTACAACACTATCCCGAACGAATAAACGTCTCCTCTCTGGTAGTCGCGCGCAACTGGTTCTTGAGCTTTATTCGATCTCAGCAATTCGGGGGCTCGATAGAGTAAACCTACCAAGTTTTGGTAAGTTGAAACAAATTAGACCGCATCGGTTGTTCTAGTTACACCATCAGTCAAAAATGTGAGACCTCTTGCAACTCAACCGATTATGTGATTAATTTGATTTGGGTATTTTATTCGCAACGTGCTGTAAGTTGTTATTTAATATTCATGAGATCAGGATTTTGGGATTTGGGAAGTGATTATGGATGATACTTAACCCTAGGTATCACATTTTTCACCGACAGTGTATATCCATATCATATACCATGATATTTCTTCATCACGTCGCATGGCTCACATTCAGCATCCTTTTTAAATTCGTGCAGTCCAAAGTCAGCCAATTTCACGACCCATCTCGAATCCACCAAACAGTTCGAAGTGCTTAGCGCGCCATGATACTTGATGACGGACTCGTGCAGATAGATCATACCCTAAAAAATAATGCAGTGTTACAAACTCGATCAAGCGTAGCGTTATAAAAGAGGTCCGCAAAAATTTCCAAGTAGAAAAGTTGCGAATGGTCCGTGGTTAAAGTTTGAACGGGTTCTTCTCGAGCGGGAACGAAGTTTACGTCGTACGTGGATTTTTATAGAAAAAATTTTTACTCGAGTTTCGGGTTCGTTGAACAGCGAAATATTACTTGGAGAAAGTTTACCGATCGATCAGAAATGTTCTTCGAAGCAAACGGACAATACGTACCCTGATTATGTCGCCGACCAAGGACGCCATGAACATGTTATCCAGCTTCATGTCTTCGTTCTCCAAAATGTCCTATGAATATCGATCGGAAAAAAAGAGCAGGAGAAAATTACACGATGTTTCGTCTGCTTAATTACTAACTGTCCGGACCGTTACCTTGAGACTGCCGCGTGCGCAATATTCGACGACGATGCATATGTTCGGCGGGTCGGTACAGGCCCCGATGAAAGCGTTCAAATTATCGTGTCGCAAGTCACGCATCTAGAGAAACGATCCTTTAATTTGGGTGTCGCGAAATGGGTCTCGTGTACTCTTCGAGCTCACGTGTACTCACCACTTTCAACTCCTTCTTCATCTCGCGGGTAATCTCGATCGATTTCTTGCGGACCTTCTTCACGGCGAATATCCGTCCCTTATAGACGCCAATTTGCGTGTAAATCATGGAATATCGGAAATCAGCGTCCGGATTCGAGCTCAGGGAAACTTGGCTGGTCCGCACAATAGGCTGGGTCGTCGTCTACAGATAACATTTTCTTAACTTTCGAACTACGTTGCTAAAACTCTGTTACGGGGGTTCGGCTTGATATTTTGCAATTTTTGTACGATAGGACTTTGAGATTTTTGGAACTTTCAAACTTTCTCTTATCTTGAAACTTTTAAACACTGGGACTTTGTATCTCAGCACTCTGGAATTTTATGATTGTAGTTCTGGAATTTTTAGCTTTTTAGAATATTTAGGGTATTTGACGATAAAAAGAGTGACGCTTCGGAATGCTATTTTGTTCGATAGTCGTTGAATAAAAATGACAGCATCGTCCGATAGCGTAACCCGTGAATCGAAGCTCGGAAAGTCTTAGGATGAATTGGGTCGAGGGAATCGAGGAAAATAGCGGAGGGCAAGACATCGGAGACAAGGTGGTAGGGGACAGAAGGACGTATTATCGGAGGCGGACATTTACCTTGGTATTGCATTTGGTAGACGCCTCGGTGGCTGCCGCCGATTCCTCTTTCTGCTCTTTGATCTGAATGTCTTTGTAGTTCACCTTCCAGAGCAGGGAATCCAGCTCCTGCTCGTACTTCCAGTTTCTGTAGAGCACCAGTAGCACCGCAGCGATGATCAGCAGAAATCCTCCGGCTATGCCACCCACGATCTCTCCCGTGTGAGCTGAACGATTCAATGAAACGTGAAATAATAGATTTCGAGCGGAACCCATCGACGACAAAATTGATACAGAAGTCGATGAATCGTCGGTAGCGATTTCAAAATTTGGGTCAACAGATGTTCGGCTCCTTTCGTCCCTCTTTGATCGTAACTAACCGCCGAAGGTTTCGTGTTCGGCAGATTTAAATGGGTCCGAAACTCGATCGTGGATCGATTGTCCTTGCGTAATCGGTAATCGCGCGATGCAGTTGCGTACGAAATTCGTATTCGATCTCAATTAAGGGAAATGAAAAGGGTGGCTGCGGGAACAAGCGGAAGGTGGTCCCCTTTACGTCCATTTACATATGTAAATTTTAAGGTCGACCGGCAAACTTTACGATGTACTTTTCGAACGATCGGTTCGCGCGACGATCGGAGAAAGCTGACGAATGGTAATTCGAAGGCTCCCTTCCCTCATCGCGTTTTCACGGATCATGATGTTCGATCGTCGGGGAAACATTATCTTGCGTATCGCGAATCGGATATGCTTTACGTCTTCTATTTGTCATAGCTATTGTGTCGCGTAATGGAACTGTAACAAAGGTGACGCTGCTGACGAGGCTGTCGATACGTAAATGGCGGCCATCTTGATAATCATATGGCCGCCGTATAATACTTGATTGTACCTCTATTTTTCATGCTTCGAAATTTGTAATCCTACGAACTCGTAACGTTAAAATTAACATTACGATAATGTCAGTTTGTTAGTTTGCGAATTTGATAATTTGTAAATTTATAAAATTTACCCAATTGTTAGTTTGAAAGTAAGAAACCACTGCAACTTCTTCAAATAACTCAGAAAAGAGCGTAAAGACCATACATTCTTTTAAAATTGCGACGCTTTAAAAGCGATCAAGAAGGAAGCCATAAAAGTGTATTAACTATGTAAAAGTCTGATTGGTATCAGCAAAAAGGGAATGTTTTATTGGTGTTAACAAGAGGAGAAAAACATGGGTACGTACAGGTACATTTCTCGCCGTGGTATCCGCAATAAGGTTCCGCGATAGGTGGGCCATCGCCGACCCACGAAATATCTCTCGTCAATCGGAGTTTCTGCAAAGAGAAAAGGAATCAATAAGCAGACTGGAAGGTTCGACGAGCTGAAAAAGCAGTTAATGTCTTACTGGCAGGTTCGTGCCGTTCTCTTTCCCCACGAAATACGCTATAGGGTATAAACCGTGTCCTTTTGTCGGCCGATTGTCCAACGCAATCAGAGTGTAATTGCCTTCAGCATCTCCGTTTTCGTCCATATAAACCATGTACCTGAACAGACGATATATCTTCGAATAGCGTAACGCCGTAACAATCTTATTGCGGCCACGTTCGAAAACGTCCTCGTAAATTGCGCAAAGTAACTCTTGCTGCCGTATATTTTTCGCCAAATTTCTTTCTCTTCCCACTTCAGCGAAACATTTTTCTTGTGCTCGTTTGCTCTTCGCTACTTTTGGGTAATCGACACTCGACGGATAGGCGGTCGAGTGTTACGTAATTTGGCGTTTGGGATTTTGTGTACTGAGAATTTGGGGTTTGGGGATTCGGCGATTTAGGGATTTGGAAATTTGGGAGATTGGGAACTTGAGAGATTGGGAATTTGGGAATTTGGGAATTTGGGAGATTGGGAACTTGAGAGATTGGGAATTTGGGAATTTGGGACTTGGGAGATTGGGAATTTGAGAGATTGGGAATTTGGGAGAGTTGGAACTTGAGAGATTGGGAACTTGAGAGCTTTGGAACTTGGGTGGTTTGGAACTTGGGTAGTTTGGAACTTGGGAGAGTTGGAACTTGAGAGATTGGAACTTGGGACAGTTGGAACTTGGGAGATTTGGAACTTGGGAGAGTTGGAACTTGAGAGATTGGGAATTTGGAATTTGGAAATTTGTGAAATCGGGAATTGGGAATTCGGGAATTTGAAATTTGGAAATTTGTGAAATCGGGAATTGGGAATTCGGGAATTTGAGAATTTTAAGCACATTTGCTCCATGCATCACGGCTAGAGTAAGCATTCCCAGTATTGATGTAACCGATTCTCGATTAGCATTGAAGACAGCGATAGGTATCGATCATTCCGAGAGAAGGAAGATTACGTGGGAGCTAGTCGAGAATCCGAGATCATGGATAGCTATGTGCTCGTAACGTGAAAGCCTTAATTATTTTCTCGGGTCAATTGTAATTCTAGACGCTTGCGTCACTACTACGATTCTCGTCCCTGCTTTATTGGACTCGCGTATTTTAAACAGTCTTATCCACGAGTAAATATCTCCAAGTGTTTTTCGCTTTAATTATTAAACGAGTCCACATTAAATCCTCCACTATTTTAAAAATTCATCAACGTTTGAAAATAAAACTTTTACGAGACTAATCCTCTACATCATAATCGAATAATTTTTGGTAATAAAATATGTAAACATGATTCGATCTTTATTAGATCGTTTGATTTTGTACATACCCCATGGCGCTTTGGTAATGAACACCGTAAAGAGTGGCTACCATTTCCCGACCATTTCGTGGATCTCGATTCTCGTCCAAAGCCTTCAGCAATGATCTTTCGTAGAGGTGCACCGCGTCGTACAGATACGCCGTCTCTGGCACGATCTGCCTTATAACACAAAAACGCGATTTACGTTTAAAAATTGCTAATCCTCCACTAATTTACTCTACAAGATAAATTCCTCGGTTTAATAACCCCGTTAACTCGATTCATAAAGTTAGATCGACCAGTTACTTGCTTGCCTTACGGCGCAAAAGCAAGTTAAGTTAATCCCTTACTAATTTGGAGGTAAAATAAAATTAGTCTAATACTTCCATCTCGGTATAAAAAATATTTATAGATTAGTACAAAGGATTAAACCGAGTTATAATACAAAAGTATAACTTCTGTTTAAATAAACGTTTATTTACTTAATATATAACGATTATAACGTAATAATGTTTACATATAAATGGTAATATAAATTTTGTTAACATAAATTGTTTACATAATTTGTAGAAGAGTTCATCGATTAAACATCGATTAGATCTGCAAGCGATTATAATAGTCACCTGAACGATTCCCCCGACGTTCGCAAGAGGGTTGCTGAAGTTGAAGGGTGGTTTCTGTCTGTACTCGTTCACCTGCCTCGTGAAGTTTCTCGAATAGATCGGTGCGGACGCGACCACGCTGAAATAGCTTCTATATGCCCTTAAAATGGAGGAGTTGGTCTTTTTCTGCCATAAACCACGAAAGTATTTGTCCGGCCGTTTCTCATCGTACTGCTCGATGTCCACGCCGACCACCCAGTATTCTCCTGCAGCACGAATTTCCGCGATATGCTTTCTCGAAACGAGCGGGAACTTAACGAGAAGTCTAAGGGGTCGTTAAGGACAGTCGCGAGATAAAAGTGACGCTAAAGAAGCAATCCGCTGATTCACTGTTCCCAGATTCTAATTACTTTCGTTATTAATTTCGTTGCTCTTTAAATTCTCGTTATTGAAACTCGTTGAGTGCAATCTTGTTAATTCCATAAATTCAAAAGTACTAAGGAAAGGACATCTTGAAATACCTTTTCTTGGAAAGTTAATTTTAATTAAGTGGGGTAATATACAATATTTAGGTCTTCCTTGGCTTTTGGAATTAAAGGATTTCTGGGATTTAAGAGGGGTGTAAGATAACTAGTAGAATTTTATTAATTTAACACCGATCGGTTATTGCAATTTCTATCGACGTCAAATTCAGTTCTTGGGAATTTGGGAATTTGGGAATTTGGGAATTTGGGAATTTGGGAATTTGGGAATTTGGGAATTTGGGAATTTGGGAATTTGGGAATTTGGGAATTTGGGAATTTGGGAATTTGGGAATTTGGGAATTTGAGAATTTGGGAATTTGGAAATTTGGGAATTTCGGAATTTGGGAATTTGGAAATTTGGGAACTTGGGAATTGGGAAATTTGGGAATTTGGAAATATGAGAATTTGGAAATTTAGGAGTTTGGAAATTTTGGAATTTGGGAATTTAGGAATTTGGGAATTTGGGAATTTGGGAATTTGGGAATTTGGGAATTTGGGAATTTGGGAATTTGGGAATTTGGGAATTTGGGAATTTGGGAATTTGGGAATTTGGGAATTTGGGAATTTGGGAATTTGGGAATTTGGGAATTTGGGAATTTGGGAATTTGGGTATGAGAATTTGGAAATTTGGGAATTTGGAAATATGAGAATTTGGAAATTTAGGAGTTTGGAAATTTTTGAATTTGGGAATTTGGGAATTTGGGAATTTGAGAATTTGAGAATTTGGGAATTTGAGAATTTGAGAATTTGGGAATTTGGGAAATTGAGAATTTGGGAACTTGGGAATTTGGGAACTTGGGAATTTGGAAATATGAGAATTTGGAAATTTGGGAATTTGGAAATATGAGAATTTGGAAATTTAGGAGTTTGGAAATTTTTGAATTTGGGAATTTGGGAATTTGGGAAGAAAGATTAAATTTTTCAGATTTAAATAATGTAGACTGTCGAATGTTTAAGTTTGTGAAATAATGTATAATTTAAGCTACTAGTGACAGTGACTAGTGATGCTCTCTATATGTACCTGATACGTTACAGCAGATTTATACCTTTTTCCAACAGCTTCTTTTCCTCCAGAGCCATCAGCAGCCCCATGTGCTCGTAATAATTCCCTAGAATCACGTAAACTGCAACAAAACGGGACACCTTCTAGCCAGTCAAGTTCTCCAAATTGCCCCTTTGTTGTTTCGTATCTTAACTCAAAACGGGTCATCGTCAAGCTATTTTTAGCAAAACGCACAAACGGAAATAGACAAAGCAAATTATAAGCAGTATCTATTCACGACGCGGTATTTCAACGATCGAAACATGCGGGTTATCTAGACACGCTCGTACGAACTTGTAACCTCGATCAAGTACCCAAAATGCGGGTGGCTTATTTCTAAATTGACCGAATGTGGTTTGCTAAAACCAATGGGCCCTTACGACTGTTATCGCCGCTGTCGTATGTCGAGAAAGCGGGTTAACTTCGATAAATAAAGTAAATTGCTAAAAATTGTTCACAATAGAGTTTCGTTATATTGCTACAATTTTTATTACACTTCACTCTTAAATTTTCTAATTTCTAAGTTTTCAAATTCTCTAATTTTCAGAACTATTTAAACAATTTTTTCATTTAGTAATTTTGAGATTTATTTTTCAATTTTTTAAATTCTCCACTGTGGGGTATGTGATAAATATATTTTTCCTTTATTATAAATAGTAAAGAAATGAAAATATATATATTTAACCAATCCGTTTATCTGAATTATTTATAAGATCCAAGAGAAATCACGCTCGACAAAGGAGTGCAAAGGGTTAAAAGTGTGAAATTCTGAAATTTAGAGTAAAAGTTCGTAAATGGACGGCCTCGTGACGCACGCGAATGCAATGCATTAACACCCGAAGAATTTCCAACTCCAACAGCGCCGTCAATGGCAATAAAACGAGGGTCTACTGCTCGAGAAGTTGTTACTCACTTCGAGTTTCTCTATACGTCTCGCTGACGTGCCGGTGGAACGGATTGGTCATGTGTGTGACGTGATACGGTTCTTCCCAGCATCGAAGAAAGTTTACAGTCACGCCTGCAGCCTCGAAGGACGACAGAATCGTCTCCGCGACCGTGGACATCTTATTGAACTCGAACAGCGTAGAGTTCATGTACATGAACGTCACCTGAGAATTCCAGGCAAAAAGAATCACCTTGATTTATTGCTTTATCGACAGGAAGCTCATCAACAAACTTTCAATGTTAGTTTTAGTTGAATGAAAAGCAATTAACTCGTTGATTGGTACGGTAGAAACAGACGTGTTTGCCCAGGGGATAATACAAATTGAAGAGCCCGCGGCTATAGAGATGCAGTTTCATTTTCATTAATTTTGCGGAAATTAAAAAAAAGCGTGCAAAATTGCTTTGATATATCCGAATCGTCAACGTTGCTCGGAGAAATATTAAATACTGAAATTAATCTTTGTTACTTTAACTATTATGACGTAGAATTTTCTACATACATATATCATATCATATATGTATATACATATGTATGTATATGTACATACATATATGTATATGTATGTACATGTATGTATATGTATGTGTATGTATGTGTATGTGTATGTACATGTATGTGTATGTATATGTATATATATCATACGTAAGAAATAAGAAATTGTATAAAATAAAGCTGACATTCTGCAAGATCAATCGACTTCTAATAACTCGACTTCTAATGTGAACGTTGAAGTGTTACTTACTTTGGTCCAATTGAACGCCATCAAGACAGCAACGACAGATTTGGAGATCTGCGTGTCCGGCGGTCTGGTTCTGGCGAACGTGGGAAACTCCTTTTTGTTGGAGGACTCGCGATGCGTGCAAAACTGAAACACACGAGCGACCTGAATGCGATCATCCTAGTATTTCAGGTGAACTTACGTGACACGCGGAGATAAACGCAGAGATAAATAGTATACCGCGTGCAACAAGCCGGTTTCAAATTTGCATCGGGTTTCTAGGTTGGTCTATTACTAGGCTGGAAAACGAGGGACACGTAATGTGCGTGATTAGTGTGTCAGCTGGACTGCTGATATAACGGGCCAGGGAAAACCGATGGAAAAGAACGAAAACGCGCTTACTGATTCACGATCCGGTTAACTGATACGCGAACCGGATCAATCGATAATAACGATCATACGATTAATTTATCTCTGATCACCCGGGAAAGAAACATTGAGTGTAGATATAAGAGATTTTTAACAGCGCAAATTACGTTGATGTCTAATAGAGAGTCAATTAATTTCATGCAGGTTGATTCGAAAGCTGCATTTCTGGGGCTAATTTTTCCTCGGTAAGTACGGGTAGAGAATTATTCAATGATCCGAATAATTCACTTGAGAAAATAAATGGTTTCTGTTCTCGACTCTGTCGATTGCACGGGCTCTTTTGAACACAGTTAGATTCAAGGAAATTTAATGAATCGCGGTCAGAAAGAATAGTTCTTTCATTTATCTCGCGTCTGTCATCGATCGCAAACAATTCTCTTCCTCTTTGGAGAGTAATAGCTTGATGCGTATTAAATGGACCATTTTAACACTGGAAGACTGGAAACGATAACACGGAAGAATTGGGAATTATTTCAGATAATTCAGAAACACAAGTTTGTTAGAACTTGAAACAAAAATTTCAAAGTAAAATTATTTGTTCATTAATAAATATCTTTGTTTCTCCAAATTTGAACCATTACATATTTTAAAACCTATTACATGGACCACTATATATTTTTTTGACAAAAAAAATGATTAACATGAACTGCAAAATAATTCTTAGACTCTTATATCATTTCGAAGATGTTATAAGAACGAGTGAATAATCTAAATAACAAATGATGTGTTAATCGAAAGAAATATAAAGCGAATCAGTTTAACGGGTATTATATTCATCGTAGCACCTACGTGGATCAATGAATCTTTTCGATCAACGAGTTCTCGATTGAAACAGACTGGCGAAATAGGCGATACGTCAGAAGTCTAGTGTAGGCCGAGCCCTCGGTGACGTCGAACGGGTTAAGCGTGTCGTAACCTCGGATCTGTACATTCGTATTCCTCCGTGGTCCGCGAATAATTTATTTCCTCGGTCGAGTCTGGTGGAAGTTTAAAACGCGCATTGCACCGTCAGATCACGTCGGAACAAGCGAAAAAACGATCGAACGAAACGCCGAAGAACGGAGTCCTGTTCGTGCTATCACATAGGCACACTTCGTTAAATGGAACGACCGGACCTAATTGAAAGCCTAGAAAAGTCTAGAAATATCCTGAGAAGATTCCGAAGGCAAGCTAGAAGTCTACGTGGGGTCTACGGGAAGCTTGACGGGGGGTGAATTTCGGTGTTTCCTGGCAATCGATTTCGGCGATAAGGTACTCGAACCGCGATGAAAGTTACTTTAAGCTAAAAGCATGCACGCGCCGACTTGACCGTAGTGGTTAGAGGTTAGAGTACACATTATGGCGCCGGCGGAAAAAGGTTGGTCTAAGGGGTAGTTTCCTGGATTTCGTCCGGCTGCATTGCTCGTAACCTGAAAGTTCTTGGGGCAATGCGTTACGTAACGGAGAAAGCCTTTTGCACTAAAGAACCCGAAAACGATGTATTTTTCTTTCCGTTCTAAACATCTCGAGATAAATGTTTCACTCTATCTATGGAAGTAAGATCGATGTAACATCGCGTACGAACAGATTTTCTCCCGTTGATCAATTATAAAATTCTCATAGAAATTTTATCAGATTTAAGCGTTAAGACTTAGCGTTACACAATTGCACAGTGTTGAAACATCGTTATTGAGCTATTTTGAGAGGAACAAATATTATAAGAGAATCAGTGGTATTTCAGTGAAGATACTAAAAACTCACGTAAGATATCATGGGGAGATTAAACGCGGCAGCCATTCTACCCTCGTGAACGCAGGTTTCCTGGGGACCGATGTAACCGCTGACGTTCTTCGTCCAAAGATCTGCAGTCATCAAGATGCTGGTCTCCTCTTCCCCATAAGTTTCCGCGACCAGGAAATCAAGCTTATGTCCGCGTCGACCTAACTCACCTGCGTTCACCTAGAAAGCCGAGAGACCCACCTGTTATTCCACGGAACAAATTCAACCCTTTCCCACGAGTATCTTTACGCGCTTAAAACTTCTGCAACTTTGTTTACAATTTTCGTCGAGAAAGAGACGAAATCTCTTTCGCGGATACTGTAAACTTTGTTCGTCGTTAAAACTTCTGTGAGAAAATGGCTACTACCTTTATCAGCTAGTACTAATTATTGCTGTAATTATTTTTACGCAGTCGACGAAAATTTGAAGAATTTAAGAACTGAAATAGGAATTGTAGGCTTCGTAAAACATTCGTTGAACTAGTATTGATGTTAGGATGGAAATAGAGTATCCGAATGTTATTAATTAACAACTTCCGTGCTGGCTGCGGTTTACCCGATGCATTCGTAATTGTATTACCTCTTCCACGGCGAGTGATATAGCGCCGGATATCCGGTAACCAGGGCGCTGATACTCCAAGTCGCCTGGGCGTCTTTTCGAGCCGGTGATATATCCGAGGGTGAAGGTCTCCGCGTCGGTGCCCTTATCACCGAGTAAAACGTGGATCGCCGTTAGTAACAGACAAGCCCTCTCCGCGTTTGCCAGTAGCATGCCCAGTCACGAAACCTTTGTAAAATCAAACGATACACTGTTAAAAAAATACGTGACCACAATCACGACGCTTCAGGCCATAACAAAACAGTTTTATCGACGAGAGCAATCTTCCCTCCGATGCTCGGTATTGGATTTCATTTGCAAGCACGGGTTTTTATTAAAAAAACACACGGCCGAATGATATAGAGGAGGTAATGGATGAAAGCGGTAAGCTCGACGGGGTTGCAATAAACACCATCAATCTCCTATGGTGTGCAGCACTTCCTCTTCCTACGTTTCTCCTTCGTTCAACGAGCGCCAGACCCCGCTATGATACTTTCTCGTAAACTATTGTGTCGTCGAGTGATGGAGCACCATCGACAGCTCGCAAACGAGAAAATGTTCCTCTTTGCTGGAACCATAATTCGGTTAGACCGGAATAATGCGAAATCGAATTCGAGCAGCCCGGATATTCTTGCATTGAACGCGCTCCTGCCGTGTCGCGTGTCATACCATTTTTCGTCGGATTTCTCGGTCCAATAACCGAGGAAGATTTACGACAAACACGTTCGCGTTTTGCCCTCGACGTTATAAGCCATTTCAATTTTGCCTCTTACGAATACTATTATTCCTTCGTGACACCAGGGAAAATATACGTTGCAACGATTAAACATGTGAACTTATACTTTTGACCGGAGAGATATAAATAAGCAGGTGATTGAACGAGGAACAATTAAGAGCTGTTCAGATAAGAGTAACCACGAATGCTTCCAAGACGAGAGATTATTCTATAGACATGAAAAATGATGTCTTCATAGCTGCCGCGAGAATGAAATACCCTGTCAAGATTTTAATCTGGTTAATTACTATGCGACGTATCGAGATATGTGACGCGTTGGACGCCGTGAATACGTTGTCTGCTTACCGATTCATTTACTCCTTGAAAAGGCGCGATATCGATCGGTTCACCGACGATTCACCCTCGAAAAATTAATTTCTCGTTACCTCTTTTCGCGTGTAATAAAGGCGTACTTAATTACTATGGGGAAAGTCAAGATTCATTATCGTGTCGAAATCGCGAGGAATGCTTTTAACTGTACCCCTTTTAATCGAATTAAAAATTTTATCCTTTTATGCGTGCGTTCAAGAATTCCAGCCGTGAGTAATAGGTGCGGTACAATAGATCGTCTAAATTTTAAATTCAGCCGTGTTCACCTCGGAAGAAAGCTGACGCGCGTAACATATGGACGACAAACGTCTTCATGTAGCGTCGCTGAAAATACTCTTGGGCTCTTCTCTTCGACTCATTATTAATAGTGCTCTATTTTAATAATACGTCAAAAAACGCGCGGTACCCCGACAGGATTCTAAATAAGCTTAACCGCAATTGCGTAACCGGACGACGTGGAACGTACTCGAGGCGGAAAGGAAGAAAGGAAAAGCGACAGGTTGAGTCACCGTCATTGATAAATAACGTCGGCTTTACTACAACGATCTAATGCGAATGTAAATGATGATTTTCCTACGATATACTCGTGGGAACGGTGGTTTGTTCAGGATCACGAGTCCCGTTTGCTGATCATGCTCTTAAGAACGCGCGGTACATCAACCTGCTAACTGGGTCATTGTTCAACCAGAAACAATAAATTGTCTTACGTAATGAAGAGGTGCCTCTGTATACAAACGAGCTAATAAAAAGTACTTTCCTTTTAATACAGATTTCTACCGAGAGTAACAAATCGAAGGCGATAAAATTATCGACACGCAACTTTCGAAAGGTTCGCACGGTAATTATAATAACTTCGGGGAGCGTTGAATAACGCGTACTTTAATTAACCGTGAACTAATTCGTACAAGAGATTCATTTGTAACGCGTGCGAAGACGCGCGTGGGTCAATTAAATCGGCTACATGACGTCTTATTACGATATCTCGGCTCTCGTTTATCGCTACCCACATTCATTTGCACCACCGTTACTTGTCCTTTAATTAACAACGAATTATCACCTTTCTCCTATCGCTTCGCCGAAATCAAATCTCCCCGACGAATTATGCGCGTTCATTAAATTTCAAGCTCGAATTTAAGCCGCGTGTACCACGGTGTGTACAGGCATATATCGTGAGAGCTGCGCGTGAATCTCGCGTATACGTCATACATTTTACTTTGTTTATAACGCCGGTTAAATACAGATGTTCTTTGATTCGGTGCGCGCGAAAGAAATTGCGGGACCAGTACCCCGGCTATAAAGAAAGCGATATTAAAAGGCTGCAGAAACGTATTTATGGCGTCGTGAACACTCGTCGATATTCGCGATCGTAGATTTTCAGGGACGCTGAAAGCTGGAAGCGTTTTAATGAATTTCCAGGTGCATTCGAGGTGTCGATATCGTTTGATAATGGAAATATTTGAAAGGCGTTGAAACCTGTGCAATTACGCTGCTCAGTTCGCGACAAAAGGGTAGTTTCACTCGTTTCGATTCGCAATCACACCTCTCGGTTATCGGAACCGTTTGAACTCCTCTTTGTATTCCAGATAGATATTGTACTACACTTGTATATTCACTTAATTTGATACTTCGGTTCACCAAAGTACTCAGGAGTTTCGTTTCAAATAAATCGGGATCCTGTTCTTCAAAACGAAAGTTTCGCTCAAGTGAATTCGTAATAAGTGAAAATTCTTTTTAAAATTGCCTGTTTGAAAACGCGGATCTTTTCACGGAAAAAGCAACCGAGTTTCTTTCTCCGCGTTAAACTGTGCGGAACTAACGAGATGATTTAGTGGGCGACAGGTGTAGCGTGAAAAGACGAGCACGGAAATGTGTCGTACAGGAAGCCCACACCGGCGTCGCGGTATTCACACCGCGTATTTCCGCTCGTCCCGGATAAATTTCCCGCCCTTATCGTCCGCCTCTCTAAATAAGTATTCCTCGTAACGCGTGCTTTATCACGAATAATCGCGCGGTGCCATACGTGTCTCGCGATTCCATCGCAATCGCGCGTTTCCTCTTAACCAAGAACAACGAGCCAATTTTCGCGAAACGACCGTAGTAAGGTCGATAACGTCCTCCGGCCGATATCGACTCGAATGAATCACTTGCCTTCGTGATCACGAGCGATGGAAAACTGCCGCGGTTTTCCACGAACGGTTTTCGAAATCGCAAGGGTCCCGTCGGCAATTACGAAGGCTGCAAGAGAAAGCAATCCGTGGCTGCTTGCACGTTTTTATTATGATACTATTCCCTCGGGCCGGCGTTGCCTCGGGTATTCTTTCAACGTGTTACAATTCGCCATGGTCTTCTACGAGTCCACACGTATGTGCCACTACTTGCTATTACATATGTGGAACGCGTTGTATACACCGTTCACTATCTATATTTAGAAGTTTCTCGACGACGAACATTACGCGATCAACTATGCACAAGGGTAGCCTATGCAGACACCCTAGGGAGATTCTAACCTGGACGCTTTATCTCCGATGTTTGTCAGCAAATCTAGCTGATCTGGGACAAATATGGCAACCCAGAGGAAGAGGTCTTCTACTCCATGATTTTTTACGACTTTTTAACACTTCGGCTGGGGTTTGAGGTCGCAGTAATTCAAGACTTTAAGGTTTAAGGAAGTAAGAATATGAGAATGTGGAAATTTGCATACGTGGATTCAGGAATTTTAGGTTTAAAAAATGTGATGATATATGAATTTGGGCTTTGAGAATAACGAAACTATAAAATTATAAATATAAAAATGTAATCTTAAAATTTAGGCACTTGAAAATTATCTGTATGCCAAAGATGCCTAAATTGTACCCAAGTGTAGTTTCAAACTCCAGCCACAAATGACTAAATGTCCCTCCATATTACAGTTCTGATCGTCGAAAATTTCCAACCAAGTTTCCCAGTTCGCATAAAGTACACGAAAAAACAAGTTGCAAGGTTCGCAAGATTCAAATAGCGTGCATGTCAATAACCCCGCGTTGCAGCCCGACGGAATCTGATAAAGTCCATCGAACAGGACCATGGAATCTCTTTTATCTGTTCCTTTTTCATAAGAACTTTTTACGAGAGTAAGTAGAACGCTATTGGATAGCCACGCATATGCTGGTTCGAAGGAAAACTGCAGATGGTAAAAGGCAAAGTAAAAAGTCTATTTTATCCCGAAAGATACTATTATTCGCGGGAATACTTTCGTGTACGTTCACTCGGAATCGAACACGTGCGTATGTGATCAGAGGGGGCCGATTCGCGAGGGGATCTCGGCTATACAGCGAAACAGAAAGTGACTCAACGCGATCATGGGGGCCGACTTTCGAAAAAGGTGATCCTGAATCTGTGTCACATGGTGTTACATAGAGAATTTTAGGCACGCCTCGGTTTTTCGGTTGCGTCAACGCAGACACGGCACCTCGGGCGTTCAGTTTCTATTCGACATTCATTTTCTAATTAGTCAACGTAACGTGAACGCTCGATGATCAAGCACGCATAATCGTTGGATAAGCGCGGGGTTCGTTCGGAGAATAATTTATGAACCGCGATTAACAGTGTCATCGAAAACATCGATCATCCTAGGGAAAAATGAACAAAAACTCCACTGTCAGTCAAGGCGTCGATACGCAAATCCGATACCGATTATTTTTCTATTTTGGTCCGTTTATTTTCGTAGACAAGAAAGTCTACGACTCTGTTTGTTTCTGTACCGACCGATATTTTCAACATTCTTTTTCAACTACTGAAACTTATAAAAGCTGACCGATTTCTCGTCCGTATCGAAGCATGTTCGCTCCTACGCGAAATCCACCTGGCTTCGTCTTCGTCTTTTTCTATCTCTTTACGCAACACCGTTATTCGGTTCGTTTACGCGACAAGACTCCCGTGACACGAGATTCATCAGAGACGATACTTGGCGATCGTTGAACGTGCCGCGTTTCTATTTTACGTTAGGCGACGTTAACCGTCTTACGCCCACGCGGATGACGTTGTTTTGACGCGGGTTCAACGTTCGTTTTCTTTATTCTTTTAATTTATACTTGGTCTTCACGATACCTATCTTGTACGGAAGGTCAGCGGTGGGTATCTTTTGGATAGATTTAGGGAATTATCTTCTCGATCTCGTCCTGTGTTCTCTATAATTATCGAGAGCGTGGTTTTCAATTCCAGGATTCGAGAGTGGGTCATTGATCTTCACCTCGCAGCGTCGTAAATACGATGCTTACCGAATAAATGAAACATCAGCCGTATTTTGCAACTTTATATTCGTTTCTTAATGCACCGTTTCGAGAGCTCGATAATAAAGGATACCCGGATCGCAAGAAAGCAATCGTCTCGAAAACAGGTATCCACGGTTCCCATTAAACTTAAAGCCGGCTATCGCGTAAAAAAGGATTTCGTCGACCGCGTAACGAGCTTAATGACGAAGATAAAGGGCGTCTCAATTAAACGCATCGAAAGAAAGTTTCGTTCCGAAAGAGAGAAAGATGTGCGGCGGGTCACTCTAGCTTCCAAGAAACGGTTTTATCCTCGTAAACATCGTTCGAGTGTCCAGGTCGGTTAATACACTTTCGAATCAGCCGTAAGGAACACGGCGGTAAGTGGTATTCCCGATGGCTGACACATTTTACGATAAAGTTTAATCGAACGCGTCGATCGCGATCATCGATAGAGCATCGATGACAGCCGCTCGTCGAGTTTCGAGAATTTCGTAGCTCTCGGTCCGTGAATCGAGCGTGGTTTACGAGTCGTTGCGCTCACGAGACCCTAGCGTGATTTATCGGGCCAACTTTTCGTCGGCACGTGGCGGTAACACTTGTTCGCCGCCAGTCATTCACAACTCGCTACAGTCCTTACACCTTCACCTCTCATCGTCTTCTTCCATTCGCTTCTTTCTTTTTCATAGACAACCTTCAGGCTCCCTAGACCTTGCGCCACCAAGTCGTGACTTACTTTCCATTTTTCCTTCCCTCGAGCCTTTTCATAACTTCTTTACGTTCGTACGCAAAGTTGGGCTCGGTAATGGATCTTGCAAGCGAGTCAAATGAAAATATTTATGAATCAGGAATGAATTATTTATTAGCATCACTTTTCTGTCCCGAATAAAAACTCGAGTAGCAGTTCTGAATTTCTAGGATTACTTGAACGCGAAGCTTTTTAGTCGAAATAAAATTTCAAACAGATGTGTTCGAATTGCTTTCGTTTGAAGTTTTTCTTGATTTTTAAAAATACTTCTTTTATACGATACTTTTGTCTTTCTTCACTCTGTTTATACGGAATTGTGTGTTTGGTATGAGTTTGTCCATTGTCTCCTATACAGGTTACGACGATGACGTTACATATTTTCTTTCAAGGATGAACGAATAGAACGCATGTAACCGCGATGAAGTAATTGTATATTTCCGAAGAAGTTAAAATCCAGGTCCAACCAAGGAGCTAATAAAACCAACAGAACAATACATTTGAAGAACAGTTTCACAGCTCGTCGCAACAATATTATCGAAAAAGTGAACTCTGCTGAATATTCGCAAGTACGAATAACAGGTGGAGATACAAAATAAATTTAGTCAAAGAAAATTTGAATTGTAGTAGCAAAGTATTTTACTCTATTTCACTCTAGTATATTTTCTCATGTTGTCATAGAACATTCAAAGTCAAGGACAACTTCCATGAAAATTTGAAGGGCCTCAAGAGGTACATACATAAAGGGATGTAAGTTCTTACCTCGTTCGTCGTATTCCCGTTTAATTACTCTGTCTCGAGAGTCCCGTTCTCTCAGGCGTTGTCGAACACCGGCAACTGGACCGACACACGGAATTTCATTCCTAGAAAACAGCTCGTGAGCCTGCCCATGGAGCAACAGAACAACAGTTGATCGCGATAACGGTGAAGGAATTAAAGCATTCCTGGTGGCAACGAACTAGAATCCCGTAATTGAAATTCGCGGCTTGCCGCGTGGTCCACGCGAGACGGGAGCGTGCAAGAATGTGGGCCCGTAATCGCTACGGTAAATCAAACAAATGAAAACCACCGACGCTATTTTCTCAACTTTTTCCGACACACTTCATGTGGAACATCGAGAGCTTCCGAGCAATTGAAACACTATTGAAACGGCTGATTTGTAGAGAACGATTTGAATCGAAAGGATCGTCCCGCCGGTGCGAGAAAAACGACGTGAAACCGGCGGTCGACAGTGATCGTAGGCGCGCGCGGCCAGACTGACTTCTCTCTGCTCGTCCTCTTTCCCTCGTAGCGTTCGTACGTCGAGCGTCGTCGCCGTCGGCGTCGTCGTTCCATTCACAGTCACCGACGCTACTCTCAGAGCACCGATGCCTGCTCTGGCGCATGAGCACTAGCCCTGAAAACGATTCGAAAAAGGAGGGAGACGCGATTAACTCCGATGATTGTTCTCGAATTTTTCCTCTCCCCAATTTATTTCAACTTTCGCTACCTCTCGCTGCCTCGCGTTTTCCATTCATTTACGCGATCTACGTGCCTTTCGCTCCAGGTTAATTGCGTTATCGGAAGCTTCAAAGGCTCCCTCGAGAAACGCGATGCGAGGGATGGGACGCAAAGTTTAGATCCTCATCGTGTATGGAGCAAATCATAAGGCGATAAAGATAAGGAAATCTCGTAACTTTCTCGGGTCTCTCAGAATGTGAAAACTTTAACTTAAATTCTTAATTATAATTTTATGTTTCAATAATTCTAGTTCTGTAGGATTATATTCACCTATAATGAATAGGTGTAATCTACTGTTCATAATGTGAACATTTTCGATAATATTGTTGCTGTGAAACTCTTGGTATTAAATCAAACGCATAGTATTGGTTTTATTAACTCTTTGATTGGACATATAACAGAACTTGAAGTAATTTTACAAGATTCATAGTACCTTTTCCAAGTCACGTTACACTGAAACGTCCTCGCAAGAATTAGTGTTCTTAAGTCTGCATTAACTCTTTGGCCTATAACATGACTCGAGACGCACTCCACAGCAAAATTGCAACAAACCTAAGTCTCCAATTGCAAAATACACCTAGCATTTCAACATTCTTTATATTAACACTGCAGTAATGTTAGCTCTGTTCGTGTAGATTAAAAAAAAATTGTAGGTTAAGAAAAGAATAAAGGAAATCCTATGAAAGTGACAGGTCAACCCTAACCTAATTGTAACCATGGAGGATTTTTAATCTCTATTATTTTAATGTCTAATTCCCAAATGTAAGACTTTGCATAGATAATCCAGTGTAACTAGCCGAATAAAAATTCAAGCAAGATAGCATTGTAAAGGCCGATGCCTTCATAAACGTTTCGTTATGGAAGTGACGTTGAGCCGGCACTTTGCCAGATGCAAATAAAATCATGCGTTAAAGCGTCAGGTAGAACTACTTCCCTTACGAGAACTACGAAGTAGAACGAAGAGGTTACTCCCTGGAGAACGGTGCGAGTCTCGTTCTTTGAAAATAATCTAATCCTCCCTCGCGTTTGCATCGGCACTTGAAAAAGCGAAACTTTCGAATCTCGTTTCATGCTACGTCGAGAAATGTACGGATCGATTCTCCGTGCGCGTTCCGCCACGTTTTCTCGGCAAAATGTCTGAAAGGATTTTTCCGTACACATTTTGCCGTGCATGAATGGTCTTCCATGGGAGTTTTCATAAGTCACGGACAAAGGATGATCGGATGCGAAATACGGATTCTATTGTTACAAGATTTAGAACGATATTGATCCGTGGAAACATTCTTTCTGTAATTATTCTTTGTCATTTTTTCTGGCAAATTTTCGTTACAATTCTTCTTCTTTCTTGGTCACGTTTGATCTGCCAACTCTTTTAAGCATCGCGATATCAAAGAAGATAAGACGTTATCTCTGTGAAAGAAAAAGGGAGCTATCTTCCAGGGACAAACAAATCTCCTCGGTTGCAGATCGCGGGCGAAATATTCTGCAGCTCGCGTGTCGCATATTTCAAAAGTTCAAGAAGTCTAGCTGCCGAGCAACGAGACTCGCGAATATGAAATTACGTCTGGAGTTCCCTGTTGTTCCATTAAACATACCTGATCTGAACAAGAACTAGATAAAAACGGACTCGGAAAGTTTGGAAGTTGAAAGAGCGACTGCGCAGAAGATAAATCATCGAATCGATGTATCGCATTCGACGGAGGCGTTCTCTTTTAAACAAAAAAATACTTGATTGATGGATAGTCCCCCGTGGCACGAAAAACTTGTCATTGCCGAATCGATCGGTAAAAAAAAGGGTATCGATTGTGTCGGTCGTGGGTCTCGATCGTGGTTTCGATAGATCGGGGAGGAGGAAAAGGGAGACGGTGTACGGTATCTCAAGTCGGATAACCCTGTTTTTTCGCGTCCTCCGACGATTACGCATTACGCAAGTGCGTAAGAACGCGCGGAACTCGCGCGTGACTTGCTTTGGAGAAAGGTGCTTCTACGTACGGGGACAAAAGCGTGGTTGGCCGCGTCGCGACGCGAAACTTGCCACCGATCTTCCATCGAAACCTTTCGAAGAAACCATTGCCGCCTTTTACAGACTCGAGGTTCCGGCGAGATTATCGTCACTCGATTCGTGCCATTTTCTCATTTGCTTCTTAACCTTTTCACCGCGAAACGCGTGTATGTCTATACTTACGGAAGACCTGCATAGGCTGTAAATTGTTGGTATAATACATTTACCGTTTCACTGATCTAATTAGAATTTATCGGTTCATGTAACAGCGACTGCAAACAGCCGAATATCGGAGGTTCAATATTTTACTGTCGCAAACATTTCGACGGATATAACGACGTGCAATTGACGCGCGAATATTGTGCTGTACATATTGATGGTTGGAGGAAGTGCTCAGTCTGGGTGATCAGTAATTTATCGTCAATATTCTAGTGCATTGTACATTAAATAGTAACTGATAATACTTGAAAATAGGAAAATAGGAAGGAAGTCATAATGTTAAACAGTAAAAGGAATAAAATGGACTTGAGATGCACTAGTCTACAGGTTCGCATAATTGAGAATTTGAGAATTTGGAAGCATGTGAACTGCTGATCCTTGATTTCTTCATACATCTGTATATTGCTTTAACCGTGATTCTCAACACTTTTAGAGCGAGTCTCGTGTGTTCATTGTTCAAGACACAGTTTTGAGGTTGCTTTCTGAATGAACTCTATGCTCTGTATTTTCAGCTGTGTATACATTGATCAAGTTTTAAATCTGTTCCCAAACGCGTTCCAAATAAGCCACGTGTTCAGACACGATCTTCAAAAGTCTATTTGAAACTCTCTGTTATACTTACTCTTTGACTTTACACTTACGATTATACACTAACAAAAGTTAAAACCGAAAAAGTGAACCAGTGTCGATTTTAAGTGTGGCAGCTGTGTATTTGCCACCACGACTCGTTAATAAAAACGGGCCAAATAAATCGCCCTCGTCGTAAGAAAAATGGCAGTCAGTTCCAACAATTAGCATAACAGGCGGTTATTAATTCGCTCCATCAGATATCTAATTTCTCGAGAAGGTCCCCATAATTTTGGCGGACAAAAAGAATCGTTTGAAATTCCGTTCTGTCGCAACAAGGTCGTGAAATATCGTTCAGCCTGCGGGCGTAACCGAGAAGGAAAAAAAGAAGAAAGATTCAATCATCCGGAGGGTGTGAAAGTTTCCTCCGGATTAGCTAGAACACGCCCTTTCACGCTCGATCGCGAGGCAAATCGTCCGGTTAGCATGCTAATCGCGTCCCGTCCAGTCACTTAGCTATTCTTCACGATTTTTCTCTCACTCTCTACGAAGTGTCTGGCCCTCGGTTAGTGAATCATTATCGCGCGACCCAGTTTTCCGCGCGGTTAATTAAATCTTTTTGCCAGAGCTTGTTAATCGAAATCGGGGTGGGACCGACCATTAAACGCTCGTTACGCCTCGTTTTCGTGCCGATAATGTCGTCTTATGTGGAAAAAACGAGCAAATTCCGTGTAATTGCTGTCCTCGTGGCGGAACAATGCGATCTCGTTACATCGCAGACAATGCGATCGCCGTCGCATTTACGCAGCAGCGGCGATTCGTAAAGTAAAGAATTCCAACAGTTTGTAAATATTTATAATTACTTGTGTTACAACTATTATAAATGTAAGTGATTATAGGTAACGTAAATGTATTATTGTAACAAGTAAATGTATCACTCCAGCGTCATAGTTGAGAGTTAGTTTATTTTGGGAACCTTAGAAGTTGGAAATAGTCTTTCACAGCAAATATGAGGCTCTAGAAATTGCAATGAAAGATAAAATTGTCGTGAAGAATTTTATGTAGATCGGCAGCATTTCAGAATGAAGTCGTTGATGTAAGAAGAAGAGTAAAAGGAATAAATTCTAGCCAGAAGCGTCCTCCCGTAAAAATACCGGCGTTAATTCCGTTAATGCACCGTCTGAATTGTCTCGCTTTTCGATCGGTAATTGCAGCGATTATCCGCGGCGGGCGTGCACGTCCCGCCATTTTGAACATAAATTACTCCCGAACACCGATACATACATCGCCGAAGAAATAAAAGGAATTGTGTCGTGCGGAGTACGTGACCATCGAAAAGGTCTGCCCTTTTTACCGATACTTTCTCGTCATTTACAACTGTTCTCAGCTTCTGTTGGCGGACGTCCAACTCGCTTGCCTTTATCATCCAACGAAATACGAAACGGAACGAAACTGGTCTTTTCTCGAAACGGTAGCTAGTATTTCCTCCGAACTTTCGCGGTAAATTCCTGCAACGCGGGAAAAGCACATTACGGTATTGAGTTCTTTCTTGTTTTCCAAATGAAAGGCGAATCAATTGATGTGGAGGAAAATCGACGTTATTAATGGTTATTATAATTGTAGGACCTTCGAGAAATCTTGTATAAAATTCGGATGAGTTTAATCTAAGTAACTCAGATATTTATTAGTATGATTAATTTAGATATTGTGCTTCGTACAGGAGATGAAACTAGACAGACAAAATTATTTAAGCATATCTTCTTTAGGCTAACACCTTGAAGAATCCAATTCTTGTAATTTTACATATCACTTTTTATGTGTAATTGCCAATAGAATTATATTTAAAAAATGAAGTCCTAAATATTAAAAAATCAAAATCATACATAACAATAATTTTCAAAGTGACTCAAAGTGTTAACATACAATAATTTCATGC